TGTACCCCCATAATATGAAGAAATAAAAAATAAAATAAAATTTGAAAAGATTATAGTTATATTACTACTACACAATTTTAAAATAAAACAAAATAACAACAAAATGAGTCTGTTACTACACAAATACAAATGAAGTATATTTTCTTGCTCTTGTTAATTACACCAAAGCACCCCACATGAAAATTTTACCTAACAGATCAGGATGGCAATATATTTAATTGGTGTCAGTTGATAACTAGAATTCATGAAAGGAATGCATTCATTTATTCAGTCCATGAAACTTTTTCAGTCCTTGAATTCTTGCTGTATAAGCACTGGCTGTTGCATGGATGGACAAGCATTGTCTTACAGGTAAGTTATTCCTGCCACCCAAATATAGAACAAACATCTAATGCAGATAAGACCCACTGGATGCCTACTGTAAATGGAAATACATATGAAGAACACCTGGCCTTGATGCAGGCAATCAACGCTCAAAGGATTCTGCCTATGGTAGTTTATTTCCCCAAGAAGAAGGCAGCAATGTATGTACATGTTACTGAAAGGAGAATCATGAAAGCATTCAACAGAGTTATCAAATGTAAAAAATTGCTTATGGTTTTTAAAAAAATCTTTTTTAATGTCAGAAGCACTCCCAAGTAAGCACAATATATTTCTAGATCTGCCTGTCTCCTTACTCCCAAAATGCACCAAGGTGAGCTTACTTGACTCCATAGACATTCAATGATCAGTAGTTCCCAGACAGAAAGTACATAAGGACAGAAAGTACATGCCCCAGAAGACAGTTAACACAAAATAGCAAGACAATGTATGTTAAAAATAAATGATGCTAGTTAACATGCTATAAAAGATTCCTTAAAGTTCTGATTACCTCACTTAGGGAGAGATGGAAAAGACAGACAGCAAGTGATGACCATGGTTTTTGTGTATTATTGAACATTGTGATAACACAGCAAAACTTTGTATTAGTTAACAGTGGCCAACCACATACACACACACACACACACACACACACACACACATAAACAAAAGATGTTTCTTTCTAGATAGTGCTACAATTTGGTAAATTTTTCTTAAAAAAAAAGAGTAGTTGAATCAAAGAGAAGGAGCCTTCTCTTCTAATGAGTTAAACTTGCAAGTAAGTAAGTCAATGAGAACTAACTTCTAATATTTCAACCCTAAAGAAGATTGTCTTATGGAGGTAGGTCCTTCCTTCTGATAATGAAAATATGGGGGAAAGAACAATAAGAATATTGTGCCCTGATCGCAGGCCAGAATTGATGATCTGGCTCTAATCCAGGTAAGAATTTAATGCTAGGGACCCTGAATGCCAGAATCTTTCATCTGCCGCTCCAAATCCATCCTCTACTGGTCTCTACCCTGTTCTCCCTTTGATGCTAATCTATATGGATTACATTGTTAAAAGACTGTCTCTCCTGTTCCTACATGTCCTTCTGTGCATACCAAGAAAGCAAGGCTTTGACCTAAGTTCTTTGCCTGGGCTATTTCTGAGGGTTGTATTTGTTGTGAGCAACCTTGAGGGATAAGGTAATGTTTTCCTCTGGGACAAGTATAGGCTTGCTTACTGTTTACTATCAAAGTGACAGATTACCCAAGCTCAGTGTTCCTCAGCTGCAACCTAAACCTATATAGCATGCGTGGCATCCATGTGAGTCCATCAAATCACCCCAATGTGAATCAGGGGTGAAGGAGAATCAATGCAAATATGCTAACATACATGCTGCTTGCTGCACTGTGAGAAATAAAGTCCTCTGTCTCTGACCCAGTGGCCTTGTGGCTTCTGCCAGCATCGATGACACAGTAGGACTAACTTATTAGCTTGCAAGAATCAAATCCCAGAACTTGTATACATCAGTAGGGCTTCATCTGGGTTTAATCCAATGGGAGTCTTGGCATTTCAAGGAAAGGAAGAAGCATGAAGTCAGAGTATGTATTTACTCTTGCTCCTTCTCTAAAAGGCCACCTTGGGCTGGCTTTCAATGAAGCTCACTGCTCTTCTCAAGGCAGCCTACTCTATAAACAGCATCTTTTCCTGAATCCAGTAACTCTCCCTCTCCCAATCCCTTAAGGCCTAGAGATGATAATAGCTCTGTTACTGCTGCTAGCACTAGGCATTACCCCTTTTGGTTTTCCTATTACCTACCCATACCTTGGTAATGAGTCCCCTTGTAAATAAACTTTCCTCCAATTACCTCAATTTGAGTGTTGCCATCTGTTTCTTGTTCAAAATCTGACAGAAGCAGTTAAGTCAGGATCCAACAAGTTGCTACCATGATACCCATTGTCAGCCACATACATCCCAAATGGGAGTTCCTTGAGGAAGGGTGCTCTGGATAAGAAATAACCTGCCTTGAGGCAAAAAGTAGGAGACTGGAGGAACAGGGGCTACCACTCCTTTCTTTCTCCATTGGGCCCCAATAAATAGGCCTCTACTTTAAGAGTTAAGACCAGGGTTTAGCATACTTTTTCTTAAAAGGCTAGAAAGTAAATATTTTAGGCTTAGTGGGCCAGATGATCTCTGTCACAACTACTCAACTCTGCCATTGCAGCACAAAAGCAGCCAAAGAAAACATTAATAAATTTAAACTTTATTTACAAAATAAAATAAACATTACTTATAAAACTGGCTGTAGTGTGCTGATCCAATTTAGAC